GGGGGGGGGGGGGGGGGGCGGCTGCCGTCTGTGACCGAAAGGCACAGGGCTTCAGTGAGCAGCAGAGAACTTCAAGTCAGAAAACCGGGACTCAGTACCAGTCTTGCCACATTCTAGCTGTGGTCTTGAAAGAGGCACCGGGACTCGGTTTCCTCACGTGGAAAAAGAGCGAGTTGAAATATGAGGTACAATTACCCCCCAAACTCCCTCAGTTACTGTTCACCAGTTCATCTACTTTCATGACCAGGGAATGATTCAGATCCCAGGTTGACAGTTCTCTCCACACGATATGTCCGAGAGAATCAAACAAGATCATGTATTTCAAAGCACTTAAAACCACAATATAAAAACGAAAAAAAGACACATAAACAGTTCATGAAAGCAAAATACAGTATGACTATGATCTTCTTTGCTTTTGTTTCTCCTGTCAGAATGGAGCTTTACTAAGGCTGACAGGGTGACACATTTGCTGATGTCACGTCAAGTAGGTAAGGTTGGAAACAGGTTCCAGTGGAGATGCTAATGAACAGGCGGCTTTTTTGAGAGTAGGCACATTTGGGACAGGTGGCAAGGCACGCAGGGCCTGTTAGCATGCCTAGTGGATCCCAGGTGACAGTGCGATGACATGGCAGTGAAGGGGGATGTGCTGGCTGGCACTGGCCAGCCGTCGGGAGTGTGAGCTGTGCTCCGCTGCACCTGGTCACAAAAGGGGGGAGACTTTTCTAGGTCTGGAAACTGAGGGCTGATGTCTTGGGATGTTTTGACACTCTAGAAAAAGAAGGGCTTTCTTAGCGTGGCCTAAAAAGTAGCTGATTTCTCTCCTATTCCCCAGTGCTCCCCCGCCCCCCTAGCAAATATGCAGAGATGAGGTCTCCTTTCCTCACGATCTTCAGAGACTTGTCAGGGTGATCTGATGACTTGAACAAGCAATTCGGTAAATTTGGGGCTCTGGAAGTGTTCTCTGCTAGATTAATGCATTTTGAGTTTTAGAGTTCCCATCCCACATCCCCCAGCCCCCAATTCTGAGACATTTAGTGTCCCAAGAGGGAACCCACAGAGTGGTGTCCATGCAAGAGGCTGGGCCCATTGTGCCTTGGCAGAAGTGTGTCTGCTTCAGAGTTGGCAGCCACGATGAGTCTAATCAGGACAAGACATGTCTCCTGTCCAATCTTTTCTCCCCTTGAATTTACTAATGTAGAACCGAGTCTAAAAATCAAAGTTTTACTGTTTGAGAGTCCCTGGAGCTCTAAGGCCTGCGGAAGTTCTCGGAAGACAACAGCATTTTGCTCACATAAGGTGCTCGTTTCCCATCCCTTTCACTTGGTGTGTAGCATTTCACTGGATTCTTAGGATCGCAGTGCCATAGCATTTACTGGTGAGGAAACTGAGGATCGAAAAGCTGGAGCCACTTGTTCTGGTCACACAATGCACTTGGTATTATTATAGCCTTGTGACCGTGTTTCTACCAGACATTCGCCGACTGACCATTGCCGTCTTAAATTAATGTAAAAGGATGCACCTGGTATAAAATTCCAACCGTGCACGGATGTACATGAAAAGTGAGTCTTTGTCATCCCTGCTCCCGAAGGCAATGACCACTAGCAGTCTCCTGTACACAACTGATGCCTTTTAAATAAAACCTTATGCTTGTTTAGTTCATAGAAGACCATAGGCAAATGTGAGGATGAAAAGTTTTCCATATTGCTCTGCGTCACTGAAGCAAGGACACACCTGCTTGGAGGGTCCTGGGGCCGTGGGGTGGGTGGCATCTGGCTGTAGGGCTCAGCAGAGAGCGGCGGCCGGCTCCCAGCGGGGTGGGTGAACTAACTGCTACTGTTTCCCTTTCAGCCCCGCTGTCATCACCGACAAAGTCATCCCAGCTTGTCTGCCAGCCGCAAACTACGTGGTCGCTGACCGCACAGAGTGTTACATAACGGGCTGGGGAGACACCCAAGGTGAGACCAGGTCCATGACCCACACAGTGAGTGGTTTGGACCTGCAGATTTCATGAAAAAGTGAGCATTTTGGACAAAGCTGTGCAAATCTCCATCAGTGAATGAGGTCCAACCCCTCCTGACTTTGTCTGGGCACCTGCCTATGTCCCCGTAATCAGTTGTTAAGGGACATGGGCAAGGGGAGGAGGCTGTTTCTTTGAGTCTCCTAATTCATAGCTTAAGTGTTTGTGTTCCTTCCCCAGGTGAGCAGGGCTTTGACACAGCCCACAAATTAGGAGTATTAGAGTATTTAGGCTGTTTCTTTGAGTCTCCTAATTCATAGCTTAAGTGTTTGCGTTCCTTCCCCAGGTGAGCAGGGCTTTGACACAGCCCACAAATTAGGAGTATTAGAGTATTTTTATATGATGTTAGCCATACTGGGTTCCCAAGCATGGTGAAAAGCAACAACAAAAGTTAGAGTTAAACTAGCCCTTTTCCCCAATACGCACATGTCTAATGTGCGTAGAGAGTCTGTTAGGGAGGGGACAGACTGACAGCTGGGGAGAACAGAGAAAGGCCGCTGCCTCCCCAGCTCTAGGATGGCGTTCAGTGTTGGTTGAGGGGGTGAGGGAGGGAGAGGAAACATTCATGCAGACTTGGGTATCAGCACTTGTACTGCATTTGAGAGATCCCCTCTGCTCTTTGCAGAGTGTCCTGACCCATCAGATTCGGCCCCTTGTTTGTAGGAACACCGCAAGAATGTCTTGGGGTCTCTGCCCTACTTTCTCAGGAGTGTGGGTGAGGGCCCTGGAATGCAGTTTGGGGCTCTGTAAAGTAGTTCTGGCTCTGCCACTAGCTGGACGGACCTGACAAGTCACTTTACTTCTCTGTATTGTTTGGTTCTAACCCTTCATCTGTAAAACCAGTGTTTTCAAATTGTGTTTTCCACTTCAGCCTTTTGCATAAACTTTCATCTGAAGAAAGGTTTTGTGGCTTAAAAAAAAAAAGATTAAAAACCACCAGTCTAGATAACTTCAAACTTGGCTTCCCTCTTTCTATGCTTTTCTTTCTGCGTTTAAAACCTCTCCTCTTTGATTTCCTGCTCCCACCTTTTGCACTTCTGAGTCTGAGAGCATCGAGGCCAAGTAAAGGGACACTTGGCAAATATAGTGTCACCTGTGGATGTGCCAGGCTGTTCCCAGCTTTTTGCATTTAAAAATTTAAATGCTACCAACCCCTATGAGTTAGATATTATTGTTTCTATTATGCAAATTAGGAATCTGAGGCTCAGAGAAGGTGCAGGATGGTACAGCAGAAACCGCATGCCTGGTCGATGGGGCCAGATTGGATGGGAACCCTGGCTTTCACTTACTAGCTGAGGGTGCTTGGAAAAGTCACGAACTCCCACCAATTGCACCCTCAGCTAAAAAGTGGGCACAGGGCCACTGTGGGGGAAACAATGAGAAAGTACATGAAGCACCGAGCACGCTCCCAGCTCCCCATAAATGGCAGTCCTTATTCATGATATGGGATATGACACTTTCTTGCAAGTGACAGAAAAGCAAACTCAGATTAGACAAAGCAAAAAAAGGGAAATTCTTAGTGAAATGTGAAGTCTGCTGGCTCACATGATGGTCCAGATCCCAAGCCCTCTCCAACCATGCTGCAGGTGCCATTCTTGTGCACAAAAGGCTGTCCTTCATGGCTGCAGATGCTGTGGTGGCTCTGGCTCTGCCAAGGAGGAATAAAGAGGCCACTTTCCCCACAGCATAAACAACAGCTGTCCCACAGCATAAGCAACAGTCTGTCCAGCTCTGAGAGGTCGGACTCGGGTCATGTGTCTAGCTGTGAACCAATCACTGATTGCTCAGACCAGGGAGTTGGGGGCAGGACCCTGCTCACATTCAGAAGGGGCAAAGGATAAAAGGCTGCTAGGCACCCATAAAACCAACAGATGTCCTCTACAATGTCTTAACCGATTAAAACATGGACCTAAGACAGTAAGGGTCTGGTGCAAGTTCTGGTTCTACTGTATTCCATGTGTGTTAGGCAGTTATTTAATCTCTTTAAGCCTCAGTTTCTTCAGCTGTATTACCCTTTAGGTCACTGTGCGGATTAAGATTATGCACTGTGGGGATTAAGATTATAATCATGACCACCAGAATCACCAACATCATCGTCACTTATATGATGTTAGCCATACTGGGTTCCCAAGCATGGTGAAAAGCAACAACAAAAGTTATAGTTAAACTAGCCCTTTTCCCCAATACGCACATGTCTAATGTGCGTAGAGAGTCTGTTAGGGAGGGGACAGACTGACAGCTGGGGAGAACAGAGAAAGGCCGCTGCCTCCCCAGCTCTAGGATGGCGTTCAGTGTTGGTTGAGGGGGTGAGGGAGGGAGAGGAAACATTCATGCAGACTTGGGTATCAGCACTTGTACTGCATTTGAGAGATCCCCTCTGCTCTTTGCAGAGTGTCCTGACCCATCAGATTCGGCCCCTTGTTTGTAGGAACACCGCAAGAATGTCTTGGGGTCTCTGCCCTACTTTCTCAGGAGTGTGGGTGAGGGCCCTGGAATGCAGTTTGGGGCTCTGTAAAGTAGTTCTGGCTCTGCCACTAGCTGGACGGACCTGACAAGTCACTTTACTTCTCTGTATTGTTTGGTTCTAACCCTTCATCTGTAAAACCAGTGTTTTCAAATTGTGTTTTCCACTTCAGCCTTTTGCATAAACTTTCATCTGAAGAAAGGTTTTGTGGCTTAAAAAAAAAAAAAGATTAAAAACCACCAGTCTAGATAACTTCAAACTTGGCTTCCCTCTTTCTATGCTTTTCTTTCTGCGTTTAAAACCTCTCCTCTTTGATTTCCTGCTCCCACCTTTTGCACTTCTGAGTCTGAGAGCATCGAGGCCAAGTAAAGGGACACTTGGCAAATATAGTGTCACCTGTGGATGTGCCAGGCTGTTCCCAGCTTTTTGCATTTAAAAATTTAAATGCTACCAACCCCTATGAGTTAGATATTATTGTTTCTATTATGCAAATTAGGAATCTGAGGCTCAGAGAAGGTGCAGGATGGTACAGCAGAAACCGCATGCCTGGTCGATGGGGCCAGATTGGATGGGAACCCTGGCTTTCACTTACTAGCTGAGGGTGCTTGGAAAAGTCACGAACTCCCACCAATTGCACCCTCAGCTAAAAAGTGGGCACAGGGCCACTGTGGGGGAAACAATGAGAAAGTACATGAAGCACCGAGCACGCTCCCAGCTCCCCATAAATGGCAGTCCTTATTCATGATATGGGATATGACACTTTCTTGCAAGTGACAGAAAAGCAAACTCAGATTAGACAAAGCAAAAAAAGGGAAATTCTTAGTGAAATGTGAAGTCTGCTGGCTCACATGACAGTCCAGATCCCAAGCCCTCTCCAACCATGCTGCAGGTGCCATTCTTGTGCACAAAAGGCTGTCCTTCATGGCTGCAGATGCTGTGGTGGCTCTGGCTCTGCCAAGGAGGAATAAAGAGGCCACTTTCCCCACAGCATAAACAACAGCTGTCCCACAGCATAAGCAACAGTCTGTCCAGCTCTGAGAGGTCGGACTCGGGTCATGTGTCTAGCTGTGAACCAATCACTGATTGCTCAGACCAGGGAGTTGGGGGCAGGACCCTGCTCACATTCAGAAGGGGCAAAGGATAAAAGGCTGCTAGGCACCCATAAAACCAACAGATGTCCTCTACAATGTCTTAACCGATTAAAACATGGACCTAAGACAATAAGGGTCTGTCATCACCACCACCATCACCATCATCACCACCACCACCACCACCATCATCACCACCATCACCAACATCATCATGACTACCATCATCACCACCATCACCATCATCACCACCATCATCATCATCACTTCCACCACCATCACCACCACCACCACCACCACCATCATCATCATCACCACCACCACCACCACCATCACCACCATCATCATCACCACCACCACCATCACCACCACCACCACCACCACCATCATCATCATCACCACCACCACCACCACCATCANATCACCACCATCATCATCATCACTTCCACCACCATCACCACCACCACCACCACCACCATCATCATCATCACCACCACCACCACCACCATCACCACCATCATCATCACTTCCACCACCATCACCACCACCACCATCATCACCACCATCATCATCATCACTTCCACCACCATCACCACCACCATCACCATCATCACCACCACCACCATCATCACCACCATCATCATCATCACTACCACCACCACCACCACCATCACCACCATCATCACCATCATCACCACCACCACCACCATCACCATCATCATCACCATCATCACCACCACCACCATCATCATCATCACCATCATCACCACCACCACCATCATCGCCACCATCATCATCATCACTATCACCACCACCATCATCATCACTTCCACCACCATCACCACCACCACCATCACCACCACCATCATCATCATCACTATCACCACCACCACCAACATCACCACCATCATCACCACCACCACCACCATCATCATCACCATCACCA